AAAATGAAATAAAATGTCCCTTAATTGTTTAAGAAAACATGTTATGACCATAAAAAATGAACAGATTTCTGTTCTTTAAAGGAGGCCTTCCGTGGTCAAGGTCAAAGGCAGGTGGAACGTTTATTCCACCCAGGGTGACCACTACACAACAAACCCAAGTACTGTCTTCTGGGATGGGCTGTTTTATAATGAACATCATGTTCAAGCAGAGATCTGGTAAGCTAAGTAGCAAGGACACTTGAGTTAGCCAAGGTTCAGAGCCATCAACACATCACCACCTGCTGGTGGGTTGGCTTTGGTCATGGTACTGGACAGATGTGAGAAACAAACAAATATTCAGGATGAACTGGGAATGTCTGACAAATATGATGCTCAATATCTGCAGGTCTGCTAGTGATTCTTTTATACATAGATGTTTTGACTTCTAAAATTGAAAGAATCCATCAGGAACAATCCATGTTGCTATCCACATCCTCTGGTCTTCTGTCTTAGAACCCGTCTGTTACAACTCTCTCTTGTTTTCAACTCCTTTCTTTATCAGAAGTTTGTAGTCTCAACTTTAGATCGAAGTCTGCGACCTGTCAGCTTGATCCACTTTCTCCACACTTAGTTAAAGCCTTTCAACCTTCTCTGTCTGTTTAATAACTAACACTATTCACTTAGCTCTCTTTTGGTTTTATCCCACCATCACTCAAAACTGCTGCAATAACTCCAGTTCTTAACCAGGTGCTGATCCGAATGACTTAAAAAACTTTAGACCCCTTTCTAACCTTCCTTTTATATACAAAATACTTGAAAAACAGTTGCAGCTCAGGTTCATAATCACCTTTGTGATAATGTGCTGGAAGAACGTCCCTTTCATTGCACTGAGATATCTTTACTTAAAACTACCAACAGTCTTCTGATTGCTGCAGACTCTGGACTTTTATCATTTTTCATACTCTTTGACYTAAGCTCAGCGTTTGATATCATTTTACACAACATCCCCCCGGACAGTTTATTTTCCATTAGTTTCTCAGTTAGTTCAAATCTGACCATCAGATTGTTCAWCTCAAGAACTTCAAGTCACAGTCGTTACTTCAGTTGTGCCTCAGGGTTCTGTTCTTGGTCCTCTGCTGTTTTATCATCGATCTTCTTACACTTGGTCTTGGTATTCACTTTCACTGCTACGTGGAGGACACCCAACTCTACCTCTCCACCAAGCTCAACACCACCCTTCCACCATTCTTCCTTTCAGACTGCCTCTGTGAAATTAAATCATGCTTTTATCAAAATATTTTTAAACTGAACTCTAAAAAACAGAATTTCTTCATCCAAATGTAATCATTTCACAATTAAACTGATGATTCCACAGTTTCTCTTTCCCCCACAGGTAAGGGTCTGGGTGTCGTCCTCGACAGCACTTTATCTTTTGAATCTCATGTCAGTTACATCACTCTGGTCTGCATATTTCCATCTTCATTCATCTGTTACTTCCATCAACAGTCATACTTATCAATGCATTTGTCACGTCTGGACAAGATTACTGTAATTCCCTCCTCTCAGGTCTTCCTCTTAAAATCATTCATAAACTTCAGCTTGTCCAAAACACAGCTGCTCAGATCATCTCCAGAACTACTTGGAAGGAACACATCAGCCCTATGTTTAAACATCTTCACTGGTTACACATAAAACATCACACTGACTTCAAGATTCTCCTCATCTCCACAGCTCTCCATAAGTTGGCACCTCTAAATCTCACTGATCTTCTCTGTTGCTACAGTCCTGTCCAAAGTCTGTTCTTCCTCATCCATCTCTGCAGGACAACCATGGGGCTCAGAGCATTTTCCCTCCCAACCCCTGGTCTCTGGAACTAAAGCACATTTGTAATTCTGATACTCTGCCCTCATTTTTAAAACTTCTTCAACCTTGTATATTCTGTTAAATGTCACCATTGTGTTTTATTTTATTGTTATCTGCTTTTTATCATTTTTAGATTTTTATTTATTGTTCTGTATTTTTGTTCGGTGACCTTGAG